AGAACTATTATTGAAATCTTGTGCACAGTTAAATTGAATTCTTAGTATACACACCAGCGATGAGGGTGCTATTCAGTCAATTTTTGAGATGATCTTTCCTATTTATCATTCATGTATAAAATTGGAGTGTATCGATTAAACACATCACGTCCACTTAAGCTATCAATCATCTCTACATTAGTATGATTAGCTTACTTATTAAACTACGTTGCAACATAAATTACTTTGCTTCGTTCATTAAGGGCTTAGCTCTAGGATAATCAACAATATTATTATACGTGGTTTGAATACAATGTGTGGTTTGTATAGATAATAGCTAACACTTTATGTGATCTACATTTATCCAGGACTTACTACATAGTGACTTTTAGATTGTGAGAAAACAGTGACAATATCTAATAATTATCATTTAATACTTAGATTCTTTGTTCTTACCACATTCAAGTTTTTAAAGTTTTCCCTGGGTATTACATGTTTATGAACATTTGAAAACATAATGGTCGTATTTAACCATACTCATTAAGCCATTTAGTGTTATCTATTTCTTAAAAATCATCAGCGAAATTCAGATGAAAACTAAGGAATTTTACAGAAGCTCTCCGATGAAAATATAATATAATGACTAGTCAATCAGAATCAAGAAAACGATTTTTTAAGTTATGTAAAGTACGAAATGAAAATACTTGTGTATAGTGATCGAAACGTTTAAAATAAAAAAATCACCTTTATTTTTCGTAGAGAAATGCTCAATTTTCTCATTGTTGCTTCTATATGACAGACATATCAGCAATATCCGTGGATTCTAATCCTTAATCCTGAAACTGACCTTAACCCAATGGTACCAAGTATTCTGAACGAAAAAATCAGATTGAAGACAGAGTCATTTGAACTTTTACTCGAAATCCACTCATCGATACCGCTATAAAGCATTTCACATTATAGCTGATGTAATTTCTTCGAAAAAATCCTAAACAAGAATAATGTGGAGACTTAGAAACCTAGTTGCATATTTAAAAGGATTGGAGAAAACGTGTAATCTGTAAACACAGATGGATTTATGTCACTTTTTTAAAATACTTTACTAGTAGATTAACCTGTGGAAGATCTTAACGGAGTGTGGTAATGTATTTAGAATCCAAAATCAGGCGAACATCAAGTACAAAGGAATCAGTAGTTCATACAAATAACACATGGATTCACTAAATATATAAAATCCGTTTACACGACAATAATTGTTCTCTTTTTCATAAACTAGCGATTAACAAAAACTGTTTTCTAATTGGCTAAGAACTGGTTGTGTTTGTTTATATATGTACCCTCAAAGCTGCTTAAGATTGATTTAGTTATTCACAAGTTCAGGCTAAGTTTATGTGTATAGAAATAGCTAGTTGGACATGTAGTTCTATCATATTTTGCGTTTACGCATTATCAGTAAAAATGTTTCTATTCTGTGTTCCCATTTTATGATGATAGAAAAGTTTTCTATTTGGGATTGCTGACTGAAATCTATAATACATTCCATTTGTTCTGTCTTTGGGTTAAATACATTTACAATCTCTCTGTTTATCGTAATGATTATATAATTATATTATGCCCTAAACATACCCCGACCACTCCTCATGACTATTCACCGAAAACTACTTTGCATATGTTTTGGTTAAAATATATTTTATATCAATATCCCAAAAAATATACAGTATTGTCTCTTGACTTTTGCGTTTGATACACAAATTATATACATTGAACAATGGATTCGCTAGAAACCAATTCTGCTCTAGTTTTATTTAACACTATAATCATATTCACTTTCAGTATAGTACAAATATGTTGGATTTTCAATGGTAAGTAGGTGGGGACTTTCTTTAAATACTAACAAACCAAATGACATAAGAACTTATCTATTACTACGAAATTGTTTTAAAATGTTACGGGATATAAATGGTGAATCTTATCAGAAAGTGAAAAAGTAATTACTCAGCCAATGAAAAGTTTTTTGGTTAGAAATAGATTTATATTTGTCAATTAACCGAATAAACATGTTAGTTCGTTAATTTATTTCAGGTTAATGTGCATAATAACTAGGGGGAAGTAAGAAAAGTCAGTGCAGTAGACCCCAACTAGTCCGAGTTCGATTTTCTTCCTTTTCAGTACGTATGTAATCATGGTTCGAAATTCAATTCAATCAGTATATGCATTCCCAGAACTTGGACAATTAACCCATACATGTGCTAAATGTGAAGATTACATTATCTGCTGCAGCTTAACTTATCAAAATAACGACATACAGACGGTGACCTTGACCAGACGAATAAATTTTTAACCCATACAACCCAACTACACATCTCTTTTGCCTACAATTTATCCTTGACAAATTGTGTGATCAGCCTGATCCCGTATCAAGAAAAATTTTATTGGTGTATGGCCGTTCAAAATCATTTAATTGCAATCTTTTAAGTCTAGTAATTTTACTTTAGTCTCTTGTCACCCTTATGGAGTTAACGTCATTTGATCGAGCTTTAGCCACAGGGAAATTTTATGTTTGTTGGGAAGTTGGTTTATCCTTGTTACGGATGATTCCATTTACATACAAACCAATTATAAGCATAAAATGTAAGGTATGTTGAGACTGTCTTGAAAACCGAAACCATCACTTATCGACAGACGAAATCAAACTGTTTGTATGATTTTTCTACCATGATGCCAAAATTTCAAATAAATGTTCAAATAAGCTGATTCTGAATAATTCATTGAATGCTTCAACCCCACTTCATCTACATGAGTTTAACTAGTAAAATGTACAAGACAAAGTCAAACAACTTGAACCCATAGTCATTTTACCTAATTACGACTCCCGGTCCCGTTTCTATTGTGGACCCACTAGTTATTTGATATATAAAAGTCGACTTAAATGAGATATGGATTCAAAAAACAAGAGTTGGAACAAGGCTTTCAGATATCCTGTATAGATACTTTGATAACGTATTTGAGAATAATGTGAACAAATAAGGATATTGAAGGATAAACAACTCAAAAAGTAAACAGACTACACACAACTAGGGAGAGATAATAATGTACTCCTCATCTCAACTCAAGCACCTGAATCAAAAGTGGTGGATCTCTTTACAGAAGAGGGGATAATGTGCTATACGAGCCCAGACATCGTGTACATGTGGCCACATATTAGTTAAAGATCAAATAGTAATCGAGGGGTGTTAAGGAAAGCATATACTGGCTTGAAGCCATTTCTGGAATGTAAGATTTGATGCAAACACTTGAAGGATGTACATATACATATTTATAAACTAATCAACCGCGTGCACTTGCATTTGCTCATGGCCATTCTTAATCTTTCCACTCATGTAGCAGGTTGTCCTCGAATATAAAAATCGTGCCTATCAGGATCAGACGAAATCATATCATAACAAGAAGGACAATTGAAAAGAGGAAATTCAAATTTTAGAAACATTAAGTCTTATGAATAAATTAAAGATTGGTCATCGTAACATAAAATATTACAGATTAAACCGATGATTACCTGGTGAGGACTACTACTTTATCCCAATATAATCCTAGTGCTTTATAAGTAATACATGACATAAATCAACTAGGCAATGAAGACTAGTGCTTAGTAGTCAATTTGTCTGATGATTGTGCAATATCAAAACTAATCTAAAAGCTATTATGATAATGAAAACAAGCAGAGGTATGCGGCAAACTACGTCAGTAATTCACTGGTGTATCGATCACTATTCACTAATTTGTGATGACATGCAAACACTTCAGTAATGAACTGTGACTAGAGAATCTCATTAGTGTTGTAAACAATACATTAACTGATTACTACTGTTATATCTCAGATGTTCAAAAACTAAGATATGATAATATATTTTGATTAATTACCGAAGCATTCAGAATCTAACAGCTTTAATTATAAGTACTTGGTTATTTAATGTATTGTTATAAAGTTATTATAAATCATTTTGTCATTGCTTATTTCACATTTATTATTTACCATCCTTATTTCTTTGGCTAACCGGAATATCTTGCTCTGATTTTGTGAATGACCTCAAAATATCGCAACAATCTTTAGTAATGTTATATTTACCCTCATTATACTTAAGCGTATAAATATGTGACCATTCATATTGATCCATGGGTTTAGTTCATTTATCTCTGTATAGCCTTTCAAAAGGTGTTAGTATATTACTGAATTTACAATAGTTCGTTGAAGAACACTTGAAAACAGATGGATAATGAGAAACTGTTTTTTCTTCGTTTGGAAACACCCCAGCATTGGTCACACAACACTTCAAACAAGACCTAACCCAATAACCTTTAAATCTAAACCTAAAGACAAATCTTCAGACCAGTTACCCCAAATTGAATCGTTCACGTTTCTGATTGCCCATAAAATCTAAGTATCCTAAGTTTCATACGGCGTGGACCTTTGACTTTGATTAATGTTAGAAATGACCATTATATTTTTGGTCACTTTATAGCTTAGAAAGAAATAGTCCGATTCAACAAGATTTCGTTGGAAAAGTAATGAAACCTAAATCAGCATAATTATTTGACATAGCTCATAAAGTTTTCAGGGCTTGTTAGCAATTATCCTATCTTAATCTTAGCCATAAGACGGATTTATTTAAGTGAAAATAAATTTCTTCATGAATCCACTGCAGCTAAATAGAGTATTATGGACCATACTACACTTCAGTTCATCTTCTTCCAACTAATTCTCTGAAAATTGGACTTAATAGAGTTATGAGACATCGACTCGAGGAGCTTGTGCTAATCTGTTTTAGTATTTATATCCAGTTGGACATTGATCATTCAAAGACAGACTATTATAAAGAAAGTTTATTTGATATTTGTAGATAGCGATAATTGGATTGTACGTGAGTACGCGCCCAGTTAGAACCGGAAAATCTAATATTTTAAGAATATGAAATTTAACCGCTTATTGGACGCTTTAATTTTAGAAAGTAACCAGAAGCTGCTCAGTCAGTAACAACGTAGAACTTCGTACGTACGTACATCAGTTCGAGTTGCCACACCACATTAGCACACAGATGCAGTTGTCGATTCAAATCCCGTAGTGGTAGAGGTAGTAAGAGTATAAGCAGTAATCGGGAAGATTAGGGTTTGAAGATGTTATTTAGAGAGTATAATCCAGTGAAATAAATTTGGGAAGAGAAAAAACAGACAAGGAGGAATCAGTAGATTAGAATTTGGGAGAACACAAAGAGTGTATTCACCTGAGCCATTGCAAACGATTTTGAGCCATGTCATTCAGGGTCTCTAACCATCGGTTGCTATCATCTCGCGCTCCCCAACCAGGTAGTCTACACCTACCAACATGACTCAGTCCACTTGTCAGTGACTTCATGGACTTGTGCCATGTTTTGGTCTGGCCGCCCCTAGCTTTCTTCCAACCTACTCCTATACCACTGAACATCGCACGTCGAGACAGTCGGTGGTTGGGCATACGTAACACGTGTCCCAGCCATCTCAACTGATGAAGTTTCACTACGTCATCAATTGATTTGCCATCCTTACCTAGTACCAGTTTCCTAACAACTGCATTACTTACTCGATAGTCCCAGGATATACGAGCAATATTTCGAAGACACCTATGATCAAATACTAGTAACCTACGGATGTCCTCTACTCTTACCGGCCATGTTTCACTGCCGTAATGTAGGACGGAACGAACTGCTGTGCAGTAAACACGTCCTTTGGTTGATAGACGGATATCTCGCCTACGCCATAAATGACGCAAGTTGACAAAAGCTAGTCGAGCCTTCTGTATCCGTGCTGAGATTTCGTCACACACCAGACCACAAGGGCTGATGAGACTTCCAAGATAAGTGGAGCGATCGACACGCTCAATTACTTCACTCCCTATCATTAGTTCGGGTGTCGATGCAACCCAATCCTGAAGCAACATTTTGCATTTCGAGGGGGAGAATCGCATCCCGAACATGCTTGCATTGTTGCTTAGAGTGGTCAGAAGACTGCATTTTGTCAGCATCTTCACCAAATAGAACTATGTCATCGGCATATTCTAAGTCAACAAGTGAACCTCCCGGTAGAAGTTCAACCCCTGGAAATTTAGACGAGGAAAGTGTTATCTCTAAAAGTACGTCGACGACAAAGTTGAACAAGAATGGGGAGAGTGGACAGCCCTGACGAACACCACATTGGGTAATCAATTCTGATGACAGTTCGCCATAAGCTCTCACCCGACCAGTTGTGTTCGAGTAGAGAGCCTTTATAAGGTTAATGTACTTCTTTGGTACTCCTTTCAGTGACAAACACTGCCATAGAACCTCACGATCAACAGAGTCGAATGCCACCTTAAGGTCAAGAAATACTACCATTGTGGGGCGTCTGAATGTGTGTCTGTGTTCTAGAACCCGACGTAGTGTGAATATGTGGTCTATACAACCACGTCCAGGTCGAAAACCAGCCTGGTTTTCTCTAATCTGCTCTTCACGAGCTTTGATTAGGCGTCGAAGTATTATTGAAGCTAATATTTTAGACACTATATTAGTCAAACTGATTCCTCTGTGATTGTCACAAGAGGACTTTTGTCCTTTCTTAAAAACTGGCACAATCAGTGATTGAGACCAGTCAGATGGGATTACGTCCAGTTCCCAAATTCTACCTAAGACCTCGGTTAATCTCAATGCTAATACTGGACCACCATCCTTAAAAATCTCAGGAGTAAACCTGTCAGGGCCTGCTGCTCTTCCTCGCTTCAGATTTCCTATGGCTTTTTCAACTTCGTAAAGGGACGGAGGACTTACATTAACTTGCCATTCAGGTGGACTGGAGATCGTGGGAAACCGAAGTGTGGCTGAAGGCCAGTTGAACTGATCCCTAAAGTGTTCTGCCCATCGATCCAATCTCCTGGATTGAGAATGAATAATATGTCCATCTTTCTCTGAGATTGTTTCGCTAATGGTCGGGTTCCTAATTCCGGTTTCCTTAACGAGTCTAAACAATTGTCTGCTATTACCTATTGCCGCTGCCTTTTCCATCTCTCTTGCTTTCGCTACCCACCACTGTTCGCGATCATTGCGTAGACTTCTTGTCAGCTTGCGCTTAAGCTGACTCCGCTCTTCATTATGTTCAGAGCCAGGTGGAATGAGTTTTCGAGCATCTATCAGTGCGATAGATGCTGCTGAGATCCAGTGTTGCTCCCTAACTTTACGGTTTACCTTACTAGCAGATATCACTGCTGTTTCCACAGCTTTTCGGATAACGTTCCATGCTGCCTCGGGGTGGGCATCACATACATGGCTGCCTAACTGTTCTCCTAGTTGTTCCTGAAATATACTCTTAGCTTGACTATCATTAAGTAGGGCTCTAAGAGGTTTCCTTGCAGCGTCTTTCCTACGTCCAGTAAGACGCAAGCAAATACGCGTTCGAACTAGAGCATAATCTGAATCTAGGCATGTGCTTCAGAATGAGCGACAGTCTTCTATCGAGCCCCTCCATCGGTGGCTGATAGCGATGTGATCTATTTGGGTCCAACGTTGGGACGAATTAGGGGGTCGCCATGTTAAAAGATGTTTTTCCTTATGCTTAAAGTTAGTATTTGCAAGGAACAGGCGGTTATCTGAGCATAGCTGCAACAGACGGTCGCCATTATCTGTTCTTCGAGCCACGACACCATAAGATCCACCTAGATGTCTTTCCCTATCGCTTAGTTTACCTACTTGAGCATTAAAGTCACCGGCCACTATTACTACATCCGAGCACTTAGCTTTTCGGAGAAGGTCCAAAAAATTTCTGTAAAACTCATCTTTACATCATCTGAGCTGCAGTCAGTGGGAGAATAGGCAGAGACGACGAAGAGGCAACGACGAGTGTCCCTATCTTTCCGGATTCTTACTGTTCCGTTCAGTCGGACAGCGCACAAACGACTGTCTACTGGGATCCACTCTAAGAGAGCTAGTTCTGCCCTAGGACTCAATGCTATACCTACGCCGGCGAAGCCACGGGAAGCAGAATCTGGGCTTCCAGATATACGAAGCGTAAATCGAGTCGGTTCTTTATTTTGGCATGATGAGGTCAAATGAATGACGCTACTCGGATCCTGTATGCGCGTTTCGGAGACGCAGCACACATCGATGGCGCGAGATTCTAAAGTCCTAGCTAAGGAAGCCTGCTGTCCTATTTGGCACAGTGATCGGACGTTAAAAGCTCCTACGTGTAGTTTAGAGCGTGGTTTCAGGAGACCAGGAATAGCGTTCCACGTACTCGAATCGTTTGCCCTAACGGTGCGAGGTGATAAAGGGACGTGGGGAGGGTTAGTCATGGAGATAAGAGAGGTATTAGGAGGTGTAGGAAGCATTTGAATGTGACCACCTTGGTCTCTTGTGCTGTCACGGGTATGAGGGCTGATATCACTTCCCGGTTGCCCACACCGTGAAAGGGTTGTTCTGGAGGTACCTGAAAAGGAAATTGGATTAGAGGCGGTCTCAGTGACCTGAGAGCGTGACCGCAGTGCCCAAGGGACAACTGCTTGAGGCCGGTTGCGCACGGCCTTTTTGTGGGAGGTTTCTGACGTGTTAGCTCTGTTCTTCAAAGGGCCTTACCGCCGTAGACGGAAATCCGTGAGGTAAGGTGAGGTGTGACATTTTTAGGGTCGACCTTTTCTAACCCAACCCCTTCTTGTAGGAAGGCAGCATCGCTGTCATGCTGGTTGTCCGAGGGAAACACCTTACTGCTGTCACACCTCTCTACAGTCAGCAGTACGACTTCGCCCTCAGACCTTGAGTTGCTACTTTTAGTCTTACCGTTCACCAATCGACCTGCCTGGCATGGTAGGACCTACAGGAACATATGTTCCAGCCAATATAGCTCGGTTGGGTCATCACGATAGGCAAGCCCGACCACCGCGTCAAGGTAGCAGCTTCGGTCGGGCTGCTAGATGTCTAACTTCTTTCAAGAGGTGATCGTATGAACTTAGTTGTAAAGGAAATGCAGAAAGGATGGAAGAATTGTATCTCTTTTACCACTCAATAAGAACTTTCGTTTGTATTGTACACGTGTATGATAAAAATGTCGTGAGAATATATTTAAGTATTCGAAAGTTGGGATTACTACATTACTTACAAGTTTGTAAACCCGACTTTAAAATCAGGGATTTCCAACTCGCCTAGGCGGACCCTCCGTGTCCACCGTCCCGTTTAAAGCGCCGGACATTCGGTTTCCGACTTCTCAATTTCGTAAACAGTAATGCCGCTAGGACTTCCCTGGCAGCGGTTGTATGCACGTGGCCATGTGAGAGCATTTTGGGAAAGTTGACTCTCCCCACTCTTGACCGTACCAGGGCATTTGGGGGTTTGTTTGGAAAAGGGGATTCGAACCCAGGACCTTCGATCTCGTGCACGAATACCCAACCTCTAGACCACTAAGTTAGTCACAGAAGACCAGCTCAATGACCTACTATTGGGCCTGGGTGTATAGTATTTCTTCCGAACAGTTTTTAATTCTGGTTCAACGAGTTGCATATTAGGTTTATGTAGTTAGGGTATCACTAGTCTCTTTTATTTTAGCAGTGGGGTGCGTCAAGGAAATCAATCGATTTTTAGTTGAGTTACAAATGAAGACTCTAAGCGCAAGTTACCCAAATGCCATAAACTCCGAATACTTGCTGTACTGTTTGAATCAGTGATATTGATGATACATACATACATTAGCATGGAAACTAAGCTATTGAATTGTTGTCATTCTATTTTCATTTCTCAGCTGTTAACCAATCTGAAAACCATTATGAATATTTGAACAAGACAATGGAAAAACGACTAGCTCTACGGTTTACGTATTAGTAAACGACATCAATAACAAACATCCTGTATACAGTCGAAAAACAATTGTAAGTAACGTGTTATTAAAGCCCGATAATCACTCGGTCCCCTCCATAAATTTTCAAAACCTAATGCGAAGAGAGCGCTGACCTCAAAGACTGTTCACAGCCGGGCTTTTTGCTTTACTCTTGAAACTACGTGGTTCGTACATAGAAACCTGCACATTTTAGTCGTGATAACACTAATTTACCATGCCAAATAAATAAACCAGGGCATGTTAGTCACCCTCACTAGTATATTTTAATTCGTTAATGTTACTCAACTATAATTAAAATACAAAATAAAAACTTTTAAACAAGTGACCACAACTATAACAATTGTCTAACATACTTATCATAGATTCGCTGTTTGCAAATAAGCTGGTTGGTTTATCGTACATAAAGTTGGAACCATGTCTACATGTTACTTCTATATTCTATACAATAGAACTTATATGGCTCATCACAAGATTTAGCAGCTGAATTACTTTCAAAAAAACGTAGTATCAAGTTACCTAAGAGAACAGTCCTTACATCAAAGCGGATATTAAGACTTAATTTTAAATTTTTATTGAATAGATCGACAGAGATGTACACAAATGGACATCATTTTGAGTTTTCCTAAGATATTTATGGAGATGGTGTAGGAAGTGACGCATCTTTACAGGATTTTTAGTCTTAGCAGTGTATAAATATGTACTAAGACTAATAACATTAGAGATGTATAGGTCTTAAAATCCCCTAAATTAGGAAGGCGAACCAAATCAGTGAGAGAAAAGTTTGCAAAGCCATTAAAAATTAAACCACAGTGTAAACCAACATTGCGAAAAGATCTGATTAGATATTAACTCAACTGTTTCGTAAAAATACAAAAGTTAGATTAAAGGTTGCATGAAAATAGTGAGGTGGAGCTTCACACAAATAATCACAGCCAAGACATTTGGGAATTTGATTTTTAAGAATTAAGAGCAGCCATAACTGCCCACAGCATTTCACAAGAACCTTCTTTATTGGCCTCTGCAAAGAAGTCGAGTTGGAGCGCATCGTCAATTCGCTTTTTGGCAAGATCATAAACATTGTCTGGAAGATGTTGTAAAGCACATTCTAAGACATCGGAATAGTGAGACAAGAGCACGAGAGAGAGTAGGCGCTTATCGACTTTCTGAACATCTGTGCTCCATTTATTAAGGACAACATCCTGAATACGACTAATTACGCGTTTTTTACTTCCAAGGTCTACTAAGGGGTGCGTCATCATGTCAAAAAGGATAAAATTTTGTTTTTCTGTCGTGCATATGCGTTTTTCTACGAGGTTTTTCGCTATCCTTTCCCTGACGTTGCGGAGCTGTAATGGTAATTTAAATGGATTCCATGTTTCACCTAAAAGCGTTTATGAATATGTACATATAAACCTACCGCTGAGATATTCAATCCATGTTTTCGTATTTTCAGGCTTGTTATCTCTGATATGTTTGAGAGCCTCATCTAGCAATGCGTCACCAGTCGGTACGCTCTTTTTGACAACAATACATCTAGACGACAGGTTCCTACGACGCATCCCACTCGGCTCTAGTCCAATTCGATTTCTGAGACCAAGTTCAACCAGTATGCATCCTCGGAGTCCACAACATACACTATCATTCCAAAATGATAAGTATCCCTACGGAGTTCTATAAATGACTAAAATAGACCAACTTCTCGATCTTTCAACCCCAACAGCAATATTTCTTCCATCAACGTTAGTCTTACTTCTTTGGATTCGGCTTCAGATTCTGGTTCATTATCAATATTATCTATAGTTCCTGGTAGGTTATTGTTTTCTTTCACATTACGCCGATAGATGACCGCCTCTTCTGTTTCGGTCATCTGTTTAAATCTAGTTGATTGAGTAACTAATAAATATAAGTGATATTTATTCTGTATTTATATGATATTTAAGACAATAAATTACCTGATTAAGAGTCCTACTTTGGTCAGTGAGTGTTATTATGATCACACTGTTATATAACTGCCTTTAATACAAAACTCTAGCTTCAGTACTAAAATATTGAGCCAGAGCTAGCAAATAAATCACGAACAACTTACGCAGAGTACTGTTGTGTAAATAAGTAAACACTGAGCCTCATAGGATTGTAAATCCCAACGATCGCGCGCCGCATCCGCACCAACTAAAACAGAATAAAAATCTCAAAGATATCAAATGATTGTGAAAGAAGTAAGGAGGGCTTTAGTTCAACAAACGTCCTCATTCATTAGCAACAGAACACCATTTCTTCGAGTAATGAACTCATGTTCATGAAAACAAGAGGAAAAAACGTTTTAACTAAACAATGCGTAACGTGAACAGTCATTGGTGGACCTTTCCTTTACACATCACTGTGATGATGACACCGACATTCAGTACCTCCTACGCTAGCAAACAGTGACGAGGTTGTACTGTACTTTAGGCCTCGGACTCAATATATAGTATGTATCTGCCCCACCCCGTCCAAATATCCGGCAAGTCAACATTCCGGCGATCAGAACATAGCTAGATGCCGCACCATCTACGAAATACAGTTGGCAGTCGGTAGCTGTACTTGCTCGACACGATTGTTTTCTTATATTGAAAGGAGAACAAAGCGTAGAGACGGTATCTCTCCATTATTTTTTACTTTTCTTTAACTACTTACTTATGCCTTTTCCCCCAATGGAGCATAGGCCGCTGACCAGCATTCTCGATCCAACTCTGTCCTGAGCCTTCCTCTTCAATTCTATACAATTTTTTTCACTTTTCTCATGTCTGTCTCCATTACTCAACGTAATGTGTCCCTTGGTCTTCCTCTCCTCCTTTGGCCTTGAGGATTCCATGTGAGGGCTTGCCTTGCGAAGCATTTGGGTGCTTTCCTCAATGTGTGTCCTATACACTTCCTGATTTCTTCCTCCCCTGGGATCTGATTTATTCTCTCACATAATAGGTTGTTATTGATATTGTCTGGCCAATGGATCCGAAGTATTTTGCGTAGACAACTGTTAATAAACACCTGTATTTTCTGAATGATGGCTTTCGTAGTTCACCAGGTTTCCACCCCATACAGCAGGACTGTCTTGACATTTGTGGTAAAAATTCTGACCTTGGTGTTGGTTGACAGTTGCTTTGAGTTCCAGATGTTTTTCAGTTGTAAATACACTGTTCTTGCTTTGATGATCCGCGCGTTCACATCTGCATCAGATCCACCGTGTTCATCTCTCCATTGCTGTTGCACGAAAATTCAGATATTCTAGCTGAGTCACATCTGACCAAAGCTGAGACCTTATCAAACTATTTAAACGAAGTCCACTCTACGGGTATTGTTAAAGATAGATGTCATAACCACACCACTGAGTTACCAGCTATGTGACCTGTATATGTAACTGAGGAAGCTGTTCTTTTATCGACCATTAATATCTGGACCGGCGAGGTACCGGGTAAATAACCCTCCAAAATCAATTGCTCTGTAAGTCTTTGACATTTGATGTTAACCGCAGTGGTCTTAGTGGACTCACCTAGATAAGGGCGCTTGGTCACGCACCCGCATCAGATCGCGCCGTGCTTCATGTCTCCTACAACTGCTGACGCGTTTAGATCAGTCGCTCATCTATATATCGATATTCTATCAAATATATCTTTGATCATCTTTACTTCTAATTTTCGATTGGGTTGGGTTGGCACGCTTCGACTATAAAAGGTGTTGCTGGTTAAAGCGTCGTCAAACTCCGAATACTTGTAGCACCTCTAGTGGTGGGCCCGACACCTGTTCCTTTACGGAACCTTATATATCATATTTTTACTTGAATTTTACATATTGTGTTATTTTTCTTCATATTTTTTTGTTTTGCCACATCCATTGTTAAACGTCATGTTCATCATAACCGAACAGACTCCTAAATTATTTAAGACTAACTCTCTCATCACACTCGTTTCAACTAATGCCGTTCTAACCGGACAACATCGAAACCTGGTTCTGCTACAGAGAAGCTGACTTCTGTGAGCACGGCGTGACAGACATACGTGCACAATTTCTTGCAGTAGTGAAAGAACTGCCGCACGAGTTCAACAAGTTCACCACACCTAGTATGTTTACTAGTGATGTCTCGGAACCTTACGAAACCCTAAGGAAGGCTATTCCTAAGCATGGAGATCTAACCGGTCGACAAAGACCAACTCCTCAACAACATCGATCTACAACATGACTTAGCAACAGACATATTACTACGGATAAGAGAGGTCACTGGTCAATGGACCTTCGACGAGAGCATGATTAGACAACTTTTCTTGTCTCAGCTTCCCCAACAAGTGCAAGCAGCGCTCTTCTCACCTTAAAACGAGCTGACTAAATCTGCCGACCGAGTTTTCTAGATCACGAGAACTTACAACGCCGGAGTCTATTCAGTCTAAAAAAAGCTCAAACGACACGAAATGACGTTACGGAACTCTGTTATACTCTGACACGTTGCCTTAGTATTCGTCATGACTATAGACGATCTCAAACTCCTGGAAGGCGTACTTCACGGAAACGATCTGTCTTTAGATCACGAGAGACAGACAACTGAGTGTTTCTGGTGTCATAATCATCAAAGTAAATCTCTTCGAATTTGCAGAGAACCCTACACTTTCCTAAGCCTCAAACCGATCGACAAGAAAAATGGTACTCAAAACTTCCCAGCCAGCACGCATTAACCACAACCGTAGACGGTGAACACATCCGACTGTTATACGTCACTGAGATGGTGACGAAAGTTTACCACCTCGTCATCGCTGACGTAGAAGTTATCGTTTTTCCAGCGTATTACAACGAACAACTGCAAGAACCGGTTTTAAACTTACAGGCAGTCAACGGAAAACCGATCGCCACATATGGTAAGCTGTATGTGTACTTTAACGTGTGCTTGTAACAGATTTGGTTGATTAGTTAAGAGTTAACCTCAAACAACCATGTATATGTTAAAACAAAAGACCTCAAGTACTCATTCACTTCATTATATCGTATTGGCATTACATTTCCTATTATCTTAAATTGAATGTTGAAAATCTTTGTGTGTTTAAACAGGTAATCCCACGTTCCACTGTGACTGTCTCGTGATCTAAATGAAGACCTATTCACTACTTGTCTGTTTGTTCTATCAACAGAACGAAGGTTACCTAATGGCACGAAACCAGTGAGCTGTGCTGAACACAAATTCGACTAATTAATAATATTTTTTTAATTGGTCGTAAAGTTAGACCTTTAGACTATCTTTAACCAAAGTTATATATATATATAGTCTTTTATCCTATGGTATTCATGTTGTAATAGTCATTTTTCGTTCTTATCATATTATTACATTGGTCTTATATCTGGAGGATTTGTCGCCAGTGGAAGTAGACACTGTTATGACTACGGAAGCCCAAATCCTAGAATTTGATCGTAGTGACCCTGAGAGTGGTTTGCTCAGCTAGAGCATTTTTACGAGAAACAATATCAAATCTGAAGGAATTCGCTATAGAGATTTATGTTTTATCCACCCTTCTTCAGTCACCAGAGTTTTAAGTCCGTCATCACCACAACTATACACCACCTTAAAACGAGAGACAATGAACCATTTATTATTATCAAGTGGTCAAGGAATCCAAAGGCTTTTCTAAGAAGAAGCATTAGGTGATAGGTCGCCGTCACAGTTTTCACGTCACCAAATCTTAGTGGGCGAAAATACAGTGGGTGAAGCAGTCCTTAAACAAGGATGGATACAAGTTCTCCCGTGCTATGTCCAACACTGTTTGGATGCATAGACCCTGAAACCCCCTTATCTCATTTAGCGCGTACAGCCGATAGAATAATGGAAAGAGGTCCTTCAACTGGATCACGCACGATAAATCATACATAAAAAGAAGAACTATTAAACGACCCAATCATAGAAAGACTCATTGTGAGTGTTAAATGTCACACTGAGGCTGTCGCCAGAATGCAAATTGGTCACAGAAACAGGAGCAGGCCACCACAACGACCAAGATCCAAGTCACAAAACAGGTCACAAGTGTTCAGACAACCTGGGCAATTCTGTTGGTTCCACTAGAAGTTTGGTGTCAACTAAACCAAGTGCATGCAACCGAGCGCCTGGGCTAAACAGAATCTCAAGAATATGAGAGACGAATTACCATTCCCCAGGTAGCAATGACTGAGGAGGGGAGCCTAAACAGTCGCTTGTTTACGTTGAAGACAGAAACTCGGGATTGAACTTCTTGGTAGATACTGGTGCGGCTATTAGTATCATTCCTGAAAATAAATCTGAGCCGGGTCGAGAAACATCCCCAGTTACCTTTCAAGCCGCCAATAAAACTAAAATCGCGACATTTAGGTAGAGAGCTTTAACGCTAGATTTCGGGTTCAGGAGGCAAATTCACTGGGTTTTCACTGTATCTCATTTAGATCTGGCTATACTTTGGATGAACGTTTTAGAAAGATATGGATTTCTAGTTAACACTATAAAACGATGTCTAGCACTTCAAGAAACTTTCGACTACACTCAGGGCAAAGAAATTCACATCACATTTGTACCCATGCCATTCGGCCTGAGGAATGCGGCACAAACATTTCAAAGACTCATGGATAATCTACTTCAAAATATGCTATTTGCACAGGGGTACATAGACGATTTGTTAATTGCCAAGTACGATTTATAACCACACGAACAGCATGTACGAGCAGTATTAAAACGGCTAGATGAAAATGTAATGAACATATATCAAAGTAAGTGTGTTTTCTGTGAGTGAACTCTAGAATTTCTAGTGCACTCAATAAACCCAGAAGGGATTACGCCGATCAAGGAAGAAATGGACACCATCAGACAATATACTATACCTAGTTCTC